ACACACACACACACACACACACACACACACACACACACACACACACACACACACACACAAAACGAGCAGCCGTGTTTGGACTACACCTGTTCATTACTCTCACACAGGTGTTCCTTCACCATCTGCACTCTGCAATATGAGATATACAATTCAGTATTATCTTAATTGTTTTTCCTAAACAGCATTGTGATTAAATAGATACCAGATTTGATTCTTAGAAGATTCTTTTGAGAAAAAGGACTAAGTTATCTCACATGTGTCTTCTCTGGAGTTTCAGAACAGATGTCAACAATGTCTCAAACTGTGCTCAGATTTGCCAAGATGCCAAAGTATGCAATTATATGTCAACAACTGTCTCATTAGTGACTGTTTCAATTTCTTCTTTTAGGTGAAACATAGCTAAATACCTTAACATACGTAACATAGTTAATACCTAAAAAACATCCTCTATACAAGCAATACAGTTTTCCATTGCGTGTGCATGCTTTTAGGACACAAGATAAAGATCCATTCTGATCTATTCCAAAGCCCCCTACCCTTAGGCCGTTCCCACAAAACAAGCCGTTCTGCGGCAAATAATTCATGCCTCAACACAGCCGTAACCATGTCAAATTTACAACCCCTCTATTCACAGTCTCCCATAAAAGGAAATGACATTCACGCCTATCCGCAACAATGGCATGTCCACACTGACAGCAGACCGCCGAGGGGGAGAGGATGTAATCGAATGGGTCTGTGATTTGGCATGGAAAAAAAGCCAGTCTATATTCAAATTGCCATCCAACCATACAGCAGAGAGTAAATAATAAACAACACGAAACATTCTCCACCACTTTTGCGCTGCATTCTAACAAATTCTAACAAATTTTAACTATAAGTTGCAATATAATAATGGCTTCAGAAAGGTAACGGGACTGATGGTAACAGGTTTGACAGTGAAACTATACTTCCATTATTTATGGAAGGGTAATTGCATTACTTTAAAAAATAACATCTATATATATATATATATATATATATATATATATAAAAAACTGCATGTTGTGTTCACTTGTGTTATCTTTTACTAATATTTAAATTTGTTTGATGATCTGAAACATTAAAGTGAGACAAACATGCAAAAAAATAAGAAATCAGGAAGGGGGCCAACACTTTTTCACACCACTGTGTATATATATATATATATATATGATGTTAACGGGGTTGACAGTTATACAGATTAATGTGATGTATTGAAAATAGAATATGCTTCTTACACAGAGAATTTAATCCTGAAATGTTTAAGAATATATATTTTTCAATTAATAGTTGTCTACTATAGGGTTGTGCTGATAGACGATAGTATCGTGTATCGACGATAGTCAGAGATATCGACGATAGCACATGTCTTTGCCGATAGTCAAGACGATATTAGGCTCATTCTCCTATAAATGTATTAAATTATTATTATTATTATTAGGCGGCATATTATAATTCGGCTATTATTATCAAATTGCCCCGCTATTTCACTTCAGCACCGCATTTCACACTCGCGCAAATGAGGATTAGAGCCTGTAGCCGGTGAAGGAGTCTCCAACCACAAACACAGACGTACATCGTCTGCTGATATAAGGTATTTCATTGCATTTTAACAAGTAATCTAAATGGTCTATATATGTGCAATATTTTAACCGAGCCCTCACTAACTGAGTTTAACGCCACAGTTATGTTAGAATGCATTTCATTCTTGTTTCTGTGGCGGCGCGTTGGGCTCGTCATGGGGCGCGCGGTCCGGAGCGCTGTATACTGATGTATCCGTTTAATTTAAATTTACTCCAAATATATGAACTTACCTGTTTTAAATACTTTTATATTTAACGTGTTCGTTTATGTCCAATATTTAGTGTTAAACTGTTGGTCTTTAAAATAAATCTACTTTTGATTTTCACCGTTGACTGCAGACCTTTTCAAAAGGGTCTGGCTGCAGACACTCTCAGACTTGCACTCTCAGACACTTGCGCTTCCGCTAGCGACGTCACTTGCAGCCTTTTTTCTATTTTGTTCTATTTATTTATTCTTTTTGTTTGAATCTCTCAACATTTTACAACCGTAGCCAGGTGGTGAAGACAAGACAAAAGAAACTAAATTACAAAGTCACTTGCAATCGCCACTTGCACTCTCCGCTACCTGCGACGTCACTTGTAATCGACACAAATCGTGCGTGTTGCCAATGGAGACAAGACGCTGTGGTGGTGATTAAACGATTAAAACTAAATGAGTACTATGACATACAGGGTCCTGCAAGAAATAGACAATACCCGCAAATCCGTGGCCACAGAACAGCAGAATATGAACGCATGCGTAAAGTCTCTCGCTAAGCGTTTTCCTCCTGTAGAAAAACATAAACACTTAATGTATTAAGATGCTATTAAAATATCAAATTCAATATACAGTTTATTAATATAATGAATATGTAAATAGTATTTTCCTCCCACACCGCAAAACGTGGCATAATGGACTAAGATGATAAAGACCAAACTCAATGCTCTTCATTATTAAAATATAGCCTAGATAACTAATATGTACAGGCAAGCAGGTGAGCACAGAATAAACGCAACACGCAAAGTTTCGAGTTAAGCATTTTTCCATATAGAATAAACTGTCTTCAGCTCTTTTATATCATTGTATTTGTCCATTAAGCTACATTACGTGTTTTATTTATAATGATTTTCTATGGGAGGAAAATGTTTAACGTGCAATTTAAAGCATTGCGTTCTGGGCTCGTCTGCTTGCCTGTACGGAGTTGATCCTTTTAAAATCACTTAACGCATTTCATAATGCACGTTCATATTTGCTGTTCTGTATATACTTTGAGCATTTTGCTGTATGGGAGGACAAGTGAAAGTTTGCGCATTGTGTTCATGGGCATCTGCTTGCCTTGTAGTACATTAAATAATAACTATATATCGAATTTGATCTTTTAATTGCACTTAAAAGTATCTTAATACATTAAGCCATATTAAGTGTTTATGTTTTTCTACAGGAGGAAAACACTTAACGAGAGACTTTGCGTTCATATTCTGCTGTTCTGTGGCCACGGATTTGCGGGTCTTGTCTTTTTCTTGCAGGACCCTGTACGTTATAGTATAAAATTAGTTTTAATCGTTTAATCACCACCACAGCGTCTTGTCTCCATTGGCAACCATAGTTGCCAAGTCCGCATATTATACGTGACTTTGGGCTTCTTTTTTTGTAAAGTAGCAATCACGTTCAGAAAGAAGGCGCGTGACGCTGTAATCCAAGCGATGACAGAAGTAGACGTAGAGGAGTGGGATGACTTTCTTTTAGCCTATTTTTTTATTTTTACAATGTTTTTGAAATGTATTAATTATCACGGGCTGTAATAAAAAACAAGTAGGCCTATACTAATGCTAAGAGTAAATATGGTTCGAATAGCCTATATTTTAGTAGGCTATAAATATGTGGCTATGTTACAGCTCCCCTTTGAAGCTCTTGTGTTTTTCTCCTTTTCCATCTCTCCAATCCTATTCTGCACACAGGTGTGGGAATTTTGTTCCCATTTTTGTTGCTGTTTGCTGATTTTTGTAAAATAGCTTCTGTTTTTGCTTTTCAGATAAAAGAGTGGTTTCAGTTTAATATGTTGCAGGCTCATTTATTGGTAATAAATAATTGCTAAATAATATTGATGATAATAAATCATAAAAAAAAAATTGGGCTTGTTTTTGAAGCAGCGGTTGCTTACTTGTCTTGCGAGAGTTGGCAACGGTGTTGGCACCACGCACGATTTGTGTTGATTGCAAGTGATGTCGCAGGTATCGGAGAGTGCAAGTGGCGATTGCAAGTGACATTGTAAGTTAATTTCTTTTTTCTTGTCTTCACCACCTGGCTACTGTTGTAAAATGTTGAGAGATTCAAACAAAAAGTAATCAATAAATAGAAAAGACTGCAAGTGACGTCGCTAGCGGAAGCGCAAGAGTCTGAGAGTGCAAGTCTGAGAATGCAAGTCTGAGAGTGCAAGTCTGAGAATGCAAGTCTGAGAGTGCAAGTCTGAGAATGCAAGTCTGAGAGTGCAAGTCTGAGAATGCAAGTCTGAGAGTGCAAGTGCAAGTCTGCAGCCAGACCCTTCTCGACCTTTTACACTGATAATGTCCGTGCTCTGATGCGGCAAACTTGTCACAGGATGCGCGGTCCTAATAGCGATGTATGACTGTTGTCTCCGAATATATATGAACTAGCTGTTTTAAATATTTTTATATTTAACATGTTAGTTTATCAGTATGTTTGAAAGTATATTATTTTGATTATTGGTGCTTTCATAGGCTCTCTCTCGCACGCCCGCACAGTTTAAAACACCACATAGTTATGAAATAGCCTATGATAAGTATAGAGAGTCTCTCTCTTGCCCCCACCCACCCATGCACGATAATATCGTCTATCGGCGATCTCGCGGGCTGGCGATATGACGATTTGAAAAATGACCATATCGCCCAACACTACTACACAGATTAATATATAAGCTTTTTTTTTTGTAATGGTTCATTACTTTAAAAAGGAAAAAAAAATAATACACACACACACACACACACACACACACACACACACGTGTGTGTGTGTGTGTGTGTGTGTATTTCCCCCCCTTTCTTAAACCTTAAGATCAAACAAATAAAACATGTTTAATAAAACATTATCCCATCTAAAAAGGTAAATATAAAAAAAAATATTGCATTTGCTAACATAGCAAGGAAAAGTCAGAAATACACAGGTGGGGACAGGCCAAGAATTCATCCTCATAATGAAACGAAAACGTGAAATGTGTATATTAACACACAGAGAATGTAATTTTTTTTTTACACATATTCATGAGGACAAAAGTGCAACCAGTTTTGTAAAATGACCCAAACACACTTTCTGAAAGAATTCAGAGACTTTTAAAAGCACTACACTCTCTCTCTCTCTCTCTCACCTGTATCGTGGCCAGGTGCTCGGTCATGGCGCAGGAAGAATCGCACCTCTGCCCTTTGCTGACCCCAGCGCTGCAGTACTTCGATAATTCGCTCACTGTCGCCAACTACTCGCTCTAAAAAAGGAAGCAACCAATAAGAAACAAGGAATGCAAATTAGGTGACAGAGATCCATTCTAGAGTGATGCATCACTGCACCTTTACACCACAGTCACATGGACAGGTGCAGAAAGATGATTTCTATGATTTTTCCTTTTGTAACCACTTTGTTAAAGCGATAGTTAACCCCAAATAGAAAATTCTCTCATTAATTATTCACCTTCAGTTCATTCCAAAGATTGATGACTTTCTCAAAAGAAGATACTTTGACAAATGTTCATGCTGCTCTTATAAACCTAAACTTTAAAATGGAAAAATAATGAGAGAACTTTAATGTTTGGGTAGTTTACCCAAAATTTTAAATTTAGTCATGTTTAAATGTCAAGTTTAAACTGTTGGTTGCTTTAAAAGTGAAGCTATATCAAAATAACATTTTGGAATAACTTTACTCAATAAGAGAAACAGGAAAGTGCAAGTCAGCTCGTACCAGATCCTCTCCACATCTCGGCCAGATAGCAGTCCACCTCCCCCGGCTCTTTACACATGTCCACCACATCTCGACACAGCGTCTCCGGCGTGATGGGAAGCTCAGTGAAGTGCTTGTCGCTATTGCTGAGGTACACCGTTAGGAACATCTGAGTCAATAATAATAATAAAAAAAAATACAACATGGGAGGTTATAACAAAAGACAGAAAAACACTCTAAAAAAGAACATTTATTAGTTCCTCAGTGAATTTTTGATTCTCTAGTTCTTAAAAAAACCATCTATAAACCCAGACCAGAATTTATTTCTCTAATCTAAAGCAGTGTTAATTTAGTATTATTTTTATACTATAAAAGTATTTACTAATATTTTAAATTAGCTTTTAATTTTATATTTTCAGTTCAGTTTACGTTTTAGTCATTTACTCATTTTATGCTCTTTTGTAGTTTTTATTTGTTTAAATATTTATATTTAGCTTTCATTTATTTTATTAACTTAAACTTATTTTATTTCAGCTGCAAAGGCAACATTTATAATTTTCATATTAGTTTTAGTAATTTTACTACATCAACTTTTTAATTCATCAAAATGTATTTCAGTTAGCTTCCAAGGCAAGTTTATGTTTTAAGGTTTTCATCTACTATTTATATTTTATTTCAACTTAAGTTTTAGTAATTTTGTTATGTGCTTTTGTCATTTTATTAGTCTTTTTATTATTTCAATTTAGCTTTAATTCATTTTAATTTCATTTTTAATTTTAGAACATCAACTTAAACTTACACTATTTTAGTCAACATTTCTAATTTTCATTTTTTTGTTTTTTCTTTCAGCTATATTTCAATTAACCAAAAATATTTGTTATTGTTATTTTTAGTTAACAATAACAACACTGAACTTATAATGTTACAAACAATGATTTTCCATCTCTCAAGATCCATTCATACAATTCAAATTATGAATGCTCTCAATCATCCACACTGTTTATAGATCTGTGACTATATGCCAGATGCCCACGTAATCTTATAATACAGCTGTACATGTGGGTGAAAATACCAAGATGGATGGTTGACAGCAAAAAAGATGCTGTATTTCTGTCTTGGCACTTTAATTGCAGCCGGCACAGATGGCTGTCACATCAAGAGGGTTCTTATCCAGAAATAAAACCCAAGCACGGGGTAATTAGTCAGAAAGCAAGGAGGTAATTGATTTGTAATTCCGAAGTGAACATCACTTTTGGAGGAAAAAGACAAGGTTATTGTCAATGTGGGTTACATCAATGAATGAGATTTTTTTATTATTATTAAATAAACATAAATAACGAGGTCATAAACTCAACATTTGAACTAATAAAGAGTAAGCATATTTTTGAAAGACAATTCTGCTAGTGTGTGCTTATTTTCAGACTATCGGCAGCAGAGTTATTATCACTGCTGATACCCGAGTGCAAAAACACTCAGCAGTTCTCTGTTACTGTGTGTGTGTTTTCATGCTTTGCCAAGCAAAGCTGAGGTACTACTGTCACACCAGATGGGTAGAGGCAAACTCAGTGGCTCTTCCACCTTAACCCGAGTCACACACCGGGAAAGGAAACGGTGCTGCATAAGAATTCCTGAACACACATATTTTCTCACACGGTTCTGATTCTGATTGGTCAACTGTGACATTATGCAGTCAAATGTGTTTGTATAATGGCCACTAATTTTTTCAACTGTTTAGCCATCAACTGATTTCTATCTTTATTATTTTATACATTTTAGAATATTAAGATATATATGAAATATTGTACATTTTGTAAACCTCAAAGTATGTAACTTTTGCAACCTCAAATACTTTAAAATAAAAACCCTGAAATTCACAACCCAAATTTTACCAGCTAAATATTGTAACATGAAATGTGCTTTAATATTTAATAGAAATATTAGATTAGAAACCAAATGTTGCCTTCAACTAACTGAATTGAAATACATTTTAGTACTGAAATTACTAAAACTGAAATAAAGCTAAATCGAAATATTTAAAAATAATAACTAATATTAAACCTAAAATTAAATGAAAATATAAAATAAAAGCTGATTCAAAATGAATAAATGCTGTAATACATACATAATATCAAAATAACACTGCACTAAAGTATCTGAATTTCAACTGATATAAAATAATTTCAAATATTTGAGTCACAAAAAACAACATTTCAATGCACCAATGTTACTTTAATATTATTTTTGATATTTACATTTTTGCAAGTTTTTCTGTCTAATATTTATATTTTATTCCAGCCTTGTTGAAATTAACAGAAACAATTGCAACTTGAGTAGTTTTAGTTAAAGGTCCTATATTGTCAAAACTGAAATCTCCTGGCTTTTTTCCACAATAACTGAAGTCTAGGGGCTATTTAACTTCAATATAAGTTTCAAAACAGTCAGTCCACAGTAGTGTTAATTTTGTCAGCTATTTTCATTTTAGTCTTAGTCCCGGGCTAAAATGTCCTTGTTAGTTTTTTATCATATTTAGTCAACCTTATCCAATTTAGTTTTAGTCAAGTTTTAGTCGACTAAAAGTCTCAACATTTTAGTTTAGTTTTAGTCGAAGAAAATCTAAAGTATTTTAGTCTAGTTTTAGTCTAAGAAAACCTGAAGTATTTTAGTCTAGTTTTAGTCAATGAAAACTTATTTTAGCAATAAGATTATTATTAATTAACCGTACAGCAGT